CAGTCTGTTATTTATTAAGACATGCAATTGTGTAGCTCAGCTTGGACACCCCCTCAATACCTGGACCCTCAATTTCTTCATCAGAAGGTAAACTTGAACTAGATAATCTTGAAAGGAGAAGTGCTCTAAAGTGTTCCCAGCTGGTGAATAGAAATTTCAAATTTCAACACAATGAAATAAGGTAAACACACGTATACAGGCACACATCCATGTCGCAAGGAATTGATAAATGATGTCAGAATATAAAGGAAGAGCTCAAAATGATGTAATTGTAGGACTAAACTATTTAAATGAAAAACTAGAAATGCCAGCTCTTGTCTGCAAACCTAGCACATGGGAGTCTAAGGCTGAGAACTGTCACTAATTTTAAGTCATCCAAGGTCATACAGTGAGTTCATGGCTAGCCTGGGCTACCTAGTGAGACCCCCCCAACCTCAAAAAGATAATATGGCCGATATACATCGAGGACATGTAAGAAGTTGTCACAGAATAAATGAAAATATTATTGTAAAAACAACCGAAGAGAGCGGGTGGGAATGGTGAGGAGAATGGATGACACCAGGTGAGGATGATAGACAGGAGAGAAGAAAGACAAGTGAGGGCATACAGTATCTTCTCAGTAATCACAAGGCTTTATTTTAAAAATTGCCATTTTCTAATTCTGCCTTCCCCACTTTGTCTTAGGGTTACTGTTGCTATGACGAAGCATCATGACCAAAAGCAACGTGGGGAGGGAAGGGGTTCTGTTTCTTCAGCTTACACTTCCACATTGTAGTCCATCCTTGAACGAAGTCAGGACAGGAACTCAAACAGGACAGGAACCTGGAGGCAGGAGCTCATGCAGAAGCCATGAAAGTGTTGCTTACTAGCTTGTTCGGCCTGCTTTCTTATAAAACCCAGGACCACTAGCCCAGAGATAGCACCAACCACCATGTCCTGGGCCCTTCCCCATCAATCACTAATTAAGAAAATGCTTTATGCCAGGCAGTGGTAACACATACCTTTAATCCCAGCACTGAGGAGGCAAAGCCAGGCTGATCTCTGTGATCACTGAGGCCAGCCTGATCTACAGAGCAAGATTCAGGACAGTCACCAAAACTACACAGAGAAACCCTGTCTCAAAACAAAACAAAAACAAAAACAAAAAAGAGGTAACTGCGTCATAAGGGTGGTATCCTCATGTGTGGGGCAGACCCTTCACTCCTCCCACTTAGAAAAGCTCAAAGAAAGGTGCCCTTTGAATCAGAGGGTCTACTGCATAAGCAGTAATTTCTTGTTATTTACAAGACACTCAGTTTATGATCTTTCTGTTATAGCAATCTCAATAGACTAAGAAGAGCATGATGGTAAGCAGGCCAGCTTTGGGCAGTGGTAGGGTACTTTTCTAGCACGCACAAAGCCCTGGGTTCAATTCCTCTTGTCTCCTCACAGCAGCGGGCAGTTTTTAAGCCATGATTCATTCAGAATATGTACATAAATGCCACATCACTAGGAAAATGTTTTGAGTGTTATAAGAATCACCTTTAAATCAAAGAAATAGGAAATGTTGGAAAGGTAGTACAAAAAAGAAATTGCCTTAAGATTTCAAGATTAAAAAGTGCCTGGTGGGACTGGGAAAGTAATTCAAGACAGTAGAGTGCTTGCCACTTATCCTCGCTGGCTTCTCTGTAGCTGAGATAAAACACTGGCCAAAACAAACTTGAGGAGAAAAGGATTGATTTGCATCACCAGTAAGAGAAGCCTATGGTAGGATATTTTGATGGCACTCTGACACTCCTGAGACTGTCCAATAAAGTTATACCTGCAATCAGGGGGCAGAGTCAGTGCCTAGCTGACCAGAATTGGCCATAGAGAAGCCAGAAAATTGGATAAAGAAGACACACAAGAAGGTAAGGCCAGGGACTAGAGTTTGAGCTCTCTTGGTTCTGGAACAAGAGAAGAGACATGTCTCTTGCAGTGTCTCCAGACAAAAAGCAAGGCCAGCTAGTTGCTACTCAGCCTCTCTGAGCTAGCAAGTTTTCACCCCAGCCTTTGACTTCTGAGTCTTATTGATAAATAGAATGATAGAGACTTAATTTTAACCTATATACTGGAAGCCCCGCCAGGCCCCAGCCTGAGTGGCTGGTGGGGTGCTGACTGAGGGGCCGTGGGATAGCAGAAAATAATTAAGATATCAGTAGATTCGTGTGCAGCTGTTAAGCCGACACAAGAGCCATCAAAACATCAAGAGCCAAGGCAGGAACCTGGAGGCAGAAACTGAACATAGGGAAGGAACCATGGAGGAACACTGCTTACTAGTTTGTTCCCCATGACTTGCTCAACTTGTTTTCTTTATAACCCAGGACCACTTTCTCAGGAGTGGCATCACTTACAATGGGCTGAGCTCTCCTACACCAGTCATTTATTAAGAAAATGCCCCCATGGACATGCCCACGGGCCTATCCAATGAAGGCCCTCCCTCAATTATGGTTCCTTCTTCCAAAGTAATTTTAGTTTGTGTCAAGCTTTCAAAAACTGACCAACATACTGCCTAAACATGAAGACCTGTGTTTGAGCCCCAGAACCCACATTTAAAATGTCAAGCTTGCTTCTGCATGCCTGTAATCCCAGTGCAGGGGAGTCCAAGACAGGTAAATCCCGGGGCTCACTGGCCAGCCTGTATAGGTCCAGATGGCAGTTAATGACACTTAAGAAATGGCACCTGAACTTGTCTTCTGGCCTGCACACACACACACACACACACACACACACACACACACACACACACACACACGTGCATGCATACACACAGTGTTATAGTTTGTCCGGTGCCACCTATTGTTGACATCTTGCCCTCCTATGGTTCATTTCTAACAATTAGTGAGCTGATATTGATGCCTTATAATTCAAGTTTTATTTGAATATCTTTAGTCATTACTCAAAGCCTCTTTTTTTGTCTCACAGTTCAGAGTATGGCATTTAATTTAGTCCACATTCTACTTATTTAAACCTCTGTAATTTCTAGTTTCCCAGCTGGCCCTCATGATCCCATAGTCAAGAACTATTGCTCTCCAGAGTCAGGCTATATTTAAGCAGCAGACTCCTGCAGGCAGAAGCTTTGGTATCTGGCACCATTCTTTGTCAAGCTGACCTCATACTAGAGGCTCCTGCTGAGCTAACCAAGCTGTCTCCAAGCGTGAGTCTTCCTTGGTGCCTTATTCCAGCATCTTCTCTGAGACTCAGGGCCTTTGCTTTTCATTTGTTTTAGGATAAAAGTCTCCCACTTACCTTTGACATCTATTCTTATATCGTAGTCACACATCCTTTCAGTGCAGGGTCTTACACAGCGATCTTTCACCATTCCTGGGTTTACTAGATAGCTCTGGGTCTAGAATGTAGGCTTCTGCTTTAATCTGGTTAAGTATTTTCACTAGATAATCTAGCTGGCTCCCTTCAGAAAACTGGGAGTTTATTTTCCTTCCAGGCAAATCTCCAATAAACAGACTCTGCCCTTAAAATCCATTCCGCCAGCTAAGACGTCATTTCTTTATGGACTCCTGGGTCTCCTGCTGGGGCACACATACTTTAAGATGTGGGCATAAAGTCATGCATGAAGAGCCACTCGGAAACACTTGCTAAGAATCCCCTAGATGAAGCTGCTGACTGTTCCAGACCCACCGTGGTTCTTGACACATAGGATATAGGATAATAAAGTCTGTCGGAGTTTAGCTCAGGGGGTGAGCATTTGAACTTAAACAAGCTTTCTTAGAGGTCTGGCTGCATGCACCCTGCTTCTGGGGCCTCGGTCTGCTCTCCCTGCTAGACGCCTCCCCCTGAGCTCTCCACATTCTCCACACTAAACGCACTGCGATGAACAGTTTGTGAAAATGGTACACTCAGTCTTTGAATGAAAGAAAGTTTAAGAACCTTTAGAGACCAGTTTGTGATTTTAAATACATGTGAAATTCCATATAGTATTTAAAAATGAGTATGAATATTGAAATCTATAGAAGTCACAGCTATTAAATTTGGTCAAGGTAAACCATTTGTTTCCAACTTTTTTTAATTGAGCATAAAACTATTAGATTATACATTTTTAAAGTCAAATATAAACATCTAGAGAAATCGTTGTCTATATAAACTTAAATTTTTATTCACTTACACAATATTTTGCCAAAACAACAACAGCAACAAAGCCTGAAGCTGGACATAGTATCTTATACCTATAGTCACCGAACTTAAGAAAATGAGGCAGAAGGATTATTACAAGTTTAAACTCAGCTTGGGCTACAGAGTGAACTCCAGGCCAGCTTAGGCTGTAGAGTAACTCCTTGTGTTGAAAATTAAAAAAAAAAAACTAATAAAACAAAAATCTGAACAAGTATTTTTTTCTCCAATTGTCAAAATCAGATTGGTGATCAGCCAACATGTTTATTATAATCTCTACTACAATTTCATACGTGGTTTTCCTGATGCATCATGTCCAGCTTTTCTTATATTAACTTTCTTTCTTAATGGAGCTTTATTAACACTTTATAGTTATTCTTCACCTAAGTTTTATTGATAACTCTCAATTTCGGGAATCTACTGTCTGGACAGGATACCTTATTTCCATGATGAATAACAAAAAAAAAATTTGTGCAGATTTGCTATTTTTAAAGTTTGTATTATGTTTACTTATTTATGTGTGAGAGGATGCATGTGCCACAGCATGTTTATAGCAGTCAGATGACAACTTGCAGGAGTTGATTCTGTCCTTCACCATGTGCATCCCAGGAACATGTAGGCTTGACCACAAGTGACCTCAGTTGACCTCGGTTTTACTCACTGAGCCATCTCCCCAGATCCATGGATTTATTATCAAAGTAACTGGTGAATCTATTTCCCATGTCATTGTTCTAATTGCTGTGAAGAGACACCATGACCGTGCAGCTCCTATAATGGAAAACATTTAAATGGGGTTGACTTACAGTTCCAGAGGTTAAGTCCATCATCATCATGGTGGGAAGCATATTGGCATGAAGGCAGGCATGGTGCTGGAGAAGGAGCCAAGAGTCTACATCTGAAGAGGCAGGCAGCAGGGAGAGAGAGAGAGAGAGAGAGAGAGAGAGAGAGAGAGAGAGAGAGAGAGAGAGAGAGAGGACACTGGGTCTGGCTTGAGCATTTGAAACCTCAAAGCCCACCCCCAGTGACACACTTCCTTCAACAAGACCACATCGACTCCAACAAGGCTAAACCTCCTAATAGTGCCACTCCCCAATGACCAAGCATTCCAATCTATGAGACTATGGAGGCCATGCATCTTCAAACCACCACACCTCACTACACAAAAATCTTTGTTCTTCATTTAGCTCAGCTTCTAATGGTCTCTATCATTGTACAATTTTTGTTAGAATGCCTGCACAAACATAAGCACAGTTCCTCCCAGTTCTTAAATTTTTCTTTTTGTTTTTTTTTCTTTTTAAGGTTATAATGTAGTTACAACTTTCCTCCCTTCTGTTTCTCCCCTCCAAACCTTTGTACATACCTCTCTTTGCTCTCTTTCAAATCCATGGTCTCTTTTTCCATTAATTGTCATTCCATGCATATATGTATGTGTATATACATATATATTCCTTAAAATAACATATTCTGTCTGTAAACTATTATTTGTACGCATGTTGTCAGAGCTGACCATTCAGCACTGGATAACTAATTGATGTGCTCTTCTCTGCCGAAGAGCATTCTTTAGTATCTGTCATTCACATGGATCGAGGCCTCATGACTTTCCCCTATAGCAGGTCTGTTGTCCGTTTAGTTCAACTCATGTTGGTGAGACTTTACGGATGTAGCGTCTGACGTTACTAGGAGATGGGACCTCATGGCGAACTTCCTGGTCCTCTGGCTCTTACGGTCTTTCCGCCCACTCTCCTGCAATGTTCCCTGAACGACATCAGAAATGGAATCGCGTGGCGCCTCAGACATTTTGTTGAACTTTTACTTTTCTATATAGAACTCATGGTTCTGAATCTGATTCTTGGGGCCGTTTTCTAGAGGAAGAGAAACTGTGATTTCGAGGCCAGCCTGGTCTACAGAAGGAGATCCAGGGAAGGCGCAAAGCTACACAGAGAAACACTGTCTCAAAAAACGAAAAAAAAAAAAAAAGTGGTTTAGGGCAAGCTTGATTTTCTCCTTTATGGTTCACAGAGGCTAAGATCTTTGTTCTGCACTTCAAGAAAATACCTTTCAGAGTGGCTATGCTAAAGGTCTAGGACAGAGATTCTCAACCTTCCTAATGCAGTAACCCTTTAATACAGCTTCTCATGTTGTGGTGACTCCCAACCATAAAACTAATTTGTTACTACTTCAGAACTCTAATTTTGCTACTGTTATGAGTCATAGTATAAACACCTGTGTTTTCCAATGGTCTTAGGCGGCCCCCTTGAAAGGGTCATTCAACCCCCAAAGCGGTAGAGACTCACAGGTTGAGAACCACTGATCTACGGCATACAGAGTTTAGGACTGAACAAATGTTGGAGTGGCTATTTTAATCTAGCAATGTGATGCTTTTATATATTCATTTGTTACAATGAAGCGATTTTTACTTTTTTAAAAATCTGTGGCCCACCCTGGTTCTATTTCTATTAAAGAAAATCAACTATGTGCTTAAGAAAAACTTCATTTGTCTTAGTGAATACAAGACACAAAGAACAGCCTTGAGTTCAGTTATTTTGTATATGTATATGAAGTTTTTATGTGTTCTAGCAGCAGTAAGACTTGAAGTAAAATGGAAGAAAATATGACTCTGATTAAAAGATACAGAGTACTAAACAACCTCATGGAAACCTTCGTTTGCGAAATTACTCACTAATTTAAACAGAACAACCACCACCACCACTTCCTGATGAAATGTCTTATTCTAGGACAAAGACTAGAGATAAAAATAACAGGCCTGGAATGTCTTACCTTGTCCCGAAATAAGGGAATGCCAAGAAAGAGAAACGAAGATTGGAGTTTATCAAAAAGACACAGAGGCCAACACAAAGACCCCGAATGACCAAGCTTGGAACAATTAGTGCAAGAAAATAAATAGGTAGTATTAGACTGCAACCCAAAGCATATACAGCAAATGTCCTTGAAATCTTACTGATGTGAATAAATGATTGAATAAATAACTAACCTTTGCAGAGGAACTCCAAGTCATGTATAGGGCATCTGTCCTTTTAGAGAGGTCAAGAGCAACTTTCAGACCAAAAGTATGGGGCTAAACGTAGTGACTGCCAAAGGTGCTACATGCAAGGAAGAACATATTCAAAATGTCTTTCCCCTCAACCTCCCTACTAATATAGAATATAGAAGACTGAAATAATTACCACTCAGCCTCCCTGGAGCAGGAGAGGACTAGTACAGAGGAGGAAATGCAGGTAGATACCCCTGGGTAACTTGTTTTACACAAAAGCTTTCTAACTTTGGAGATTTTCTCCCACTTTGAATCAACGATCATAACACAATAACCTGAGTGAAGCAGCCATTTGTAACACAGACCATAAAGGCCAAATGTGAGAAAATTGGCTCTCTGAAGATACAGTTGAGCAATCATCCAAGAAGTTGGCTAGTGACCCCTGGCCTCGTTGTAACCTAACACAGACCTTTTACTTTAAAAATTGTCTATGTTCATTTTTTTTAACCTGTGGTCTGATGTAACTCCAGAAGCTTCAACCAAGAAATAGAAAAACAGAACTTTGTGTGTGTGTGTGTGTGTGTGTGTATGTGTGTGTGTGTGTGTGTGTGTGTGTGTGTGTGTGTTGTGCATACTTTTTGGAAGCTATATAGCAATATATCACAGAAAACTTTTATATGTTATTATATGCATACTCTGCCTATTGTGCAACTGCATACAGATTAAATCATAAGACTATTAATGTTATTACTATTAATAAACTGATTCATGTACCAACAGTGTATTATTTATGTAAGTATTATATAATATTTACACAAATATAATACAGCCACTGAATAGAATGCTTCACAAGCCTTATGATTCATAATTTATAAGTTCATAGTACATTGTGAGCAGAAGGAACTTTTACAAAGAAAGAGGAACAATTAAATGTATATAATTTTAAAATATATATTTATAGTAGTTACTAATATACACTTATACAATAGAAAGTGCATAAGATCATAGTGAATACAATTATATAATGAATTTCCTTGGAATTTTAGAAAATCTCTACAGTGAAAACAAAAAATATAATGCAAAAAGAAATAAATGCTAAAAAGAAATCAGTGTTACAGTTTTGGTTAGTATGAGTCCTTGATTTTTTGGCTCGTGTAAACATGTTTTTGTATCACCTGGAACACTGGTTCTGTGATTCAACAGGAGACAGTCTTACATTTAAAAACACTGGCTGTGTGAGTTATTTTTTGTTTTGTTGTGATAAAAATACCCTGACAAGAGCAACTTCAACTCATCATTCAAAGGTACAGCCCTGGTGTGTGGGAGTAAGGATGGCTGAAGCTGGAGCCAGTGGTCATAGTGTCTACAATCAGGAAGCAGGGAGTAATGAATGCTCCTGCTTAGCTGGCCTCCTCCTCTATATGAAGTGCAGGACCAGGGCCTGTGCAATGGTTCCATCCTCATCCAGGTCTGGCCTTTCTACCTCACTAAGCCTACTGGAGACAGGCCCTCATAGGTGAACCCAAAGGCTCATCTCCTAGGTGATTTTAGATCCTATCACGTTGACGATCATCTGTGTTAACCATCACCCTGGGCTACACAAGATCTCATTAACATGAAGGCAAAACTTTGGAACTCATAGGAGCAGAAAGCATAATGCTGGTTTCCAGGTTCCAAGTGTCAGGGAGAGAGAGAGAAAGAAGTAGCTGCTGACCAAGGACTACAAAACTTCAGTTAGGAAGAAGAAGTTCAAATACTATATCACACAGACTATTAACTAGAGTTAATAACGGTGTGTTGCAGTTTTGAAACTCACCGAGAGTAGATATTAAGTGTTCTTACTGTGAAAAGATTATGTGAAATAATGCAGGAGTTCATTCACCCTATCCGGTCTTTCTACAACATAGAAATATCTTTCGAAGTAGCATATGAACATGATAAATATATACAATGTTTATCGATTTTAGTTAATTTTAAAATGAGAAGTGACTTTAAAAATTAAAGCTAGTTTTGCTTTAAAAGCACTTACTTTGAAAACAATGTTTTCTTATCCTATTCATATTCCCAGTCTTTTCTTCCATAAACTTCTGAACAGCTCAAAGGATAAAACTGCTGTGTAGAAGGATAAGAAAAGGTATTCTTAGGAATCAAAAAAAAAAAAGGCTCAAAATTCAATTGAAAGAATCGCTATTCACCCATGTACACCAGTGTCTGCACAAGGACCCAGTAAGTCAAAGGAAGCACATGCCAGACAAATAGGAAGGTTAGAGCATGAAACACACATGCAGAATAACATGCTGGGAAAACCGACTCTTCAGGAGGAGTTATGAAGCATTTTAAAAGCAGGTTTCACCATGGTTGGATGGAAGAAGGCGAGCATGGCCAGGGAGCTGCTTATACAGAAACAAGTGATGGGCTTCCCATGTCTTTTACCCCAAGCCATTTCCACATTTCTTAAAATACAAAAACAGTGGGCCAGTGAGATGGCTCAGTGGACAAAGGCACTTGCTGCCCACACTGCTGAATTAAATTCCCTCCCCCAAATCCAAGAAAGGTAGACAGAGAGAAGTGACTCCACAAGGCCTTCTGACCTTCATGCATGTGCCATGATGTGCACATGTGTGCATGCACACACTCTCACAATAATAATAATAAAATAATAATAATAATAATAATAAGTATCTATATAAAAGGGAAGTCCATAACAGTTCAATGATTATATATTAACTGCTAAGTCAGTGAATGAAGATGACAGACTTTAAAGTGTAGTGCTTCACTGAAAATGTTATGCTTGTTATTTGATGTATCTTAATCATATCTGCCCTTCACTTCCCCACCAGCCTTCCCCGTGATCCCCCCTAAATATCTCCCTCTCAATCTCATATCCTCCTTTAATATTGATTGATTGATTGATTTTAATTTATTGAATCCAATTAGTGCTGTCCTTATTCCCATGACCTGGGGTATGGGGGAAACCTCCAGGTGGCTACACTCCTAAAGAAACGTGGCCCTCCCCCATCAGTTGTCATCTGCCTTAGCTCCTCAGCTATGGGTGGGCCTTGGGAGACATTCTCAGAATCAAGTTCAGTCTGCACCCAGGGTGTAGAAGTAGACGTGTTTTGGCTCTGACAATGGTACTGACAGTATGCCTTTCTGTTGTGTGAACTTTTTCTACGGAGACATGGAATAGACATCTATCCACCTTATGCTGGGTTTACTTCCACATGACAGAAAAGCCAATAGATGCAAGTTACAGAAGGTGTTTCTGTGACAATGGACAGGAGATCAAGAAGGATCATATGCCCCTGAGCAAAACAGTTAATGCAGTTGAAATTCGGTTGCTGCTTGTAGAACGTAACCAATGAAAGCCCTTTAAGACATCTCCAACACAAACCAGTACATTTCTACACTGTGAGGGCAGACAATACAGTACAGGTCTCAAGTGTGGCTGAAAGGGGCTTGTATGACTTGGTCATGTTTTCGTAAGAGTACAGGGTGACAGCTATAAGTCACTGGGTTGGGGGGACTCTGGGAGAAATAAGACCATTTCTCTTCTTAAGATGAGGTTTACTGAGAATAATAACTAATATTTATTTATTCTTCTTTTATTCTAAGCACTGACTTGATTATCTCCTCAAAGCAACCCAGCATTGAAGTTAATATTACTGCAAGGGAAAGGAGCCCATTGAGAAGTGTGATTAAGGTAACCGTGGTCCTGGCTTTAGTACAGAACCAGGGGCCTCTAAAGCAGCAACTCCAGACCCCAAATTCTGTGGCACTGTCTGTCTCTCAAGGCAGAAGGAAGACCTCCTAAGAGGCTCCTCCAACAAAGTATTCAGGAGAGCAGGCGAAAGGAAGACTTCGTCCCTCAAATGGCAATGCATTAAAAAAAAAAAAAAAAAAAAAAAAAAAAACTAAAATCCACTGTACATTTCATATTTGTTTTGTCCTATTCTTGATGGTTTTTGTTTTCTTTTATTATTTTTGGAAGCCTATTTGATATCTAATGATAGAGAAAGAAAGAGTGTGGATGACAGGTGGGTGAGGAGGCGAGGAGGATCTTGGAGAGTAGGGTGAGGGGAAACCCTCTCAATAAAATCATTTATTTTATTTTTATTCTTGTGTGTGTGTGTGTGTGTGTGTGTGTGTGTGTGTGTGTGTGTGTGCACATGTGCATGTTGTATGCACAGAGGAAAGAATGGGTGCTGGTTCCTATGGAAGAATAATAGTATATGCTCTCAACCAGTGAAACATCTCTCCAGCCCCTTAAGTGGCATTCCATTTAATGTGTTAAGATGAAGCCAGAATATCCTCAAATGCAAAAAACTGAAATGGAAGAAGAAAACAGGATCAGGCAGAGTAAGCAAGATAACTCTTGGGGCAACTGGGTTGATCCCAGAGCACACAAGATACACTTCATGATCTTAGATGTGGGGATTTTTCCAAGCTCTAACAATGGAATGGCTTTACATCTTGCTCATCTGAAGAACAAGAAGCTGTGTGACATTCTTGTGAATGAAAGCTGTATCTCTTGGCTTTTGAAAATACACCTCTTAGAATACCTTCCCTCTCTAAGACAATGAACGTGCAACTAAAATAAACTATGCTTGCTCTACAGAGTTCTCCCCAATCTACCTTGTCTCTCTCAGATCGTCTAAACTACACTCTGTTAATTTTTGGAAGGTTCCATTGAACATTTTTGTGCTGGAGGATGCCTTTTTGAACACTGTGAATATATGTTGTTCCCATTGGTTAATAAATAAGCAGCTTTGGCCTATGGTGAGGCAGCTTAGAGGCAGGCAGGAAATCTAAGAGAGAGACAGGAAGAAGAAAGGCACAGGCGGGAGAGACGCCAGCCTGCCGCCCAAGGAGCAACATGCCAGTAGACTACAGAACACATCCCAAAACAAAGATGAACAGAAATGGGTTAATTTAAGATATAAGAGCTAGCTAGCAAGACACCAGAGCCATTAGGCCATACAGTTTGCAAATAATATTAAGCCTCTGAATGATTATTTTATAAGCGGCTGTGGGACCGATGTGCCAGGTGGGACTGGAGAAACTTCTGGCTACGTTTTTGTATGGATCATTGATAGTTGGATTGTTGATAGTGGATAGTTGAAACTGGATGGCAAAATTGTGTTTAGGGGCACAACCACTATACATCCAGTTTTTATTGATTGATCTGTCAGGTATCCAGCCCTCTCCTACTGTGTGCTAAGTACAGAACAGATAGCAAAGGAAAAGTAGAGCAGTTGCATACCCTCCCCCACTTTTCCATTTTAGCAACAGGAGAAAGAAAATGAATAACGAGCAGAAAGGAAAAAAAAGTTTCAGAAGAAGCATAAGTACAATGAGTAAAACGAAGAAGATGGAGCAATAGTGACTGATACAGCCAGGGAGAGCCACTCTGACGGCATTTGAATTGAGCCATGGAGGTTCACGTGAGTGCTTCCTGGTGGAATGTCCAGCAAGAGCAAATATCAGATAAAACAAGATGACCAAAGACTAAAGGGAATTATAACGAGGGGCCTAGCAGAGCTGACTCAGCAAGGCCGGAGCTGGATTGCAGAAGCTTTGCCTATCCTGGGAGGGTGTGTGTGTTTCACTCTGAGGACAATGGCACCAGGATCCAATGGGATACACTTAAGTTTCTTGACACTCCACAGTGTGGCCTAAACATCTGGTTGGAATGGAAAATGGAATGGATGAGACAAACCATAACACTAATTAACATATCCGACCAGAATCCATCTTGACTGATAATCACTAGTCCCAGCAGAATTTTATCTAAACCCCAAAAGGATCAGAATCCCCGAAATGCTTGTTTGTAGCTCTGGAGTTGTTATTGGTAATGGAATTGCTTGTTCAGGCTAGTATCAACTTTGTAAACACCTACAAATAAAGGGTAGATGCATATTTTTGAAATGAACACACGGGAGTAGTGAGCTCACTTCAGGAAAGAGAACAGCCTCTTCCTCCGAGAGCTTGGCCCATGCCGCAAAGTTGAAATAACCTGCCTAAGGTTTCTACACCGAACTGGTGGCAGGACACAGCTCCCTCAAAGTTCCTCTCAAGGTCTGAGCAGCTAGCTCAATGGGTAACATGCCTACTACATGTGCATGAGGGCCTGTGTTAGAATATCCAATACACATCCAGTGTGATGGTGTGTTTCAGTAACCACAGCTCTGCAGAGCAAGATAGGCACACCCGGGGGGCTTGCTGGCCATCTGGTCTAGCCAAAATAGAGAGCTCCAGGTCCAGTGAGAGACCTCATTTTCAAAAAATAAGGCAGAGTGCCAGAGACGAAGACATCTGATAGCAACCTTTGGCCTCCACATGGGCAAGTGTACCTGTATGTACACAAGTACCACCCTCATGCCCACACATGCATGGAAGTTACTCTAAGAAGCTTTGGTACTAATTCAGGCATGTCACAGATTCTAATTCTGACTGCAAAGAAATCTAGAAGGCAAAACTGTGCAGCACAATCTTTTTGGCCACACACACACACACACACACACACACACACACACACACACACACACACACACACACAAAGCTGCTTCAAATTACCCAGATTTCAATATTCCAGTTTCTCTTCAGTTTGTAATTATCATTAGGATTGTATCGACAACAGAGTTTTTTTGGCCAATTATGCTACCGAATGCTGTGTTTAAAAAAACAATTACAGATGGCAATCTATTTGGCAAATATCTTCTGTAAAAATAAAGTAATAATTCTCTAAATTGATTTGCTGGTCCATCAGACAATTAAAGCAGATGAGTTTGGGGTTCTTTTTCTTTTTTCTATGCTTTGGTCAGTTGTGCTCAGAAAGTTGGCAGAGGAAGCCTCAGTACTTTCCATTTTGAGAAGATTGCCAAGTAGAGTCCATTTATTTCCAGAGTAACCTTGAAAATATTCCTTTAATTTTAAGCAAAGAAAGTTTCGTTGCGAAAACAAAATCTCCCTTTGTGAGGGTCTTTCATTTGGATAGCATCTTTAATGCTTGTTTCTCTGATAGGAGTATAAATCGTTATCACAGATCAGCACCCTCAGAGTAACTCGTTTCTCCAAAGGATCTGACTCAGCAGGAATAATAAAAATATGATACTTGTCTGGAATGCCCATTTGAAACATCACCCTCTATACTTTCACAGGTTTTCTCCTAGAAGCTATTGCTCCTTTCCAAAATTGTCATTCAGGGTATTCATAAAGGGGAGGCGGACAAAAGGGTACTAAAAGAGAAGCATGTAGGAGACATGACATTTGTAAGCCAAGTAGGAGTCAGGAGGGTAGAGTACATTTGAGAGCATTTCTACTCAACATTGTCTTGAAAGTTGCATGTGTGTAACACACACACACACACACACACACACACACACACACACACACACGCTTAGGTGTTTGCTTATGGACACTCAAATCTTGTATATTTATCCACTCTTGACCATAAAGTAGAGAGAAGTATTCATGGTTTACCATGATGTAGAATAATAGAGTCACCCTGAAGATAATGCAAGTATCATTTCACAAACCCATTCCGCTAACCTTCACTGATACAATCAGGCTTCTTGGATTTTTAACACTAAACAGATTTAAAATGACTTATGCGCCAATGTACTCATTGAATTGGATGATTTGCACAGTCGCAGGTAACACACTGCTTTCTGAACACTCCACATCCTATTCTCTGTGCTGCCACAGTTACCATTAGGTGCTACCAGCCACTAATTCTGTGCTGTCTAAAGGTTACATTTCACATTGAGGTTTCCAGTAGGAACCTAAAATCTTAAATGAATACCAAAAGCATTATTTTTCAAAAAGCCAAACTCAAGTTAGGGGAAGAAAAATAAGTCAGCGTTTAATGGATGGAACAGAGAGTGGAAACATCTGACAGAACAGTAGGAAACTTCGCTCCATTCTGAATACCTCACCACTACTCACACCATCTGTCATGCATTTCTCATGAAATAAACAATTTCAGAAATGTTTTGGCCAGGGGAGATGCATTTTGCTTTTTTTTTTTCACCCATCTATTTGTCCTATATGGACGAAAGACGATGGCCTTGAAGGAAATCATTATGAAGGCGATACTTTGACCCTGAGAGTGAGTAGCACTTTTATTTGGAGGTGCTTGGGAAGGACATGAGCTACAGATAGAATAGGAAATGGGACGGTGCGGGGGGCAGGAGGGGGGGGGCTTGAAGAGAAAGGAATTGCTGCCAAGAACAAATGCTGAATTTCCTGCCGTTTTTATTTCCCAAAATCAGAGCGGCTGCAAGAAGGAGCTGGGGGAGGGGAGGGGAATGATGCGTCCTCTCTTAGGGGGGAGGCAGGGGGGGGTCCTCCATACACTTTTTGAACTGTTTCCACAGTCTGGCAATACTTTATGCCAGAGTTAAGGTGGCACTCTCTTCATTATCTACAGTTCTCTGACTATGTCTCAGTTGACCAGACCAGTCTCTTCCCTCCATTCCATATGTGAAAGTTAGCTTTTCTTAGTCTCCTCCCCTTCATATTCCGAGGGCATTTCTCAGAACACTACAATGACACCTTTGAATCTGACCGTTGGTGGCTCGGTGTAGTATTTTTAATGCCACATTTGAGAGTGTTTTCTCTGTTCAATGAGTCATGTTCAGTTTTTCTCCTATGTGTCTCCTACCCTGGAAACGGAATCTTTTTCTCCTAGTAAGAACACTGGGGCAGTAGATCTTGAATATGGCCTCAGCTTCAGTGTTACTCTGTGCTCATGGGGAAGTCACTTTATCCTCTGTCTCTTCAACTGTATTTTTTTTTTTTTTTGTTCCTCAGGGTGATGGTAAAGGTCAAATGAGATAATGTGTTATAGCGTCTGGTTCATATTGAGAGATAAACATTTATTCCTTCCTGCACGTCTTTCCTCTTTGTTCCCATTACTTTGGACCTGTCATGCTCCCTTCCCTGGAATCCTTTTTCTTCCTCCTCTTCACCGTCCTTTGCATAGACAGATCCAATAATAAGGGCATATGAGGCTAAGAAGGACCACCCCTTTTACAGCACACTACGGAAAAGGGAATTTTAAGGCTCTATAACTCATGCTTTATGGATCAATAAGAAGTAGCATGATTTTATTAAACACCTTTAGTCTTAGTTATTCTATATATCCCTCTCTCCCTTTTCCCTACCCTCCCATCCATCTCCACCTTTAATTTTTTCTCCATTAGTCTCCTTCCCCACTTCTGCCTAGCAAGGTATGCCTAATAGTACAAAAATGGTATGACTGTTAGGGTGGTGGAAGTCAACCACTTCCTTGTGGGAGCCCACAAAGATTCCAGCTTGTGGTTTGTTTCCAGGTTTGAGAGTCAGAGTCTCCATTGCTCTCCAAGGCTGCATGATAGGTTGCAAAGGCATAGTTACCAGTTGTCTTATACTGCAAGGCCTAATCACAAGATGCTTTGCTATGGGATGTGGTTACCATGTGTTTTGAAGGGTCTACACTTGGTTGTATGCTGTGCTTTGATCTTGAAAGGGGGATGCCTTTTGCCTCTCCACTTGCTAGTGTACAAAAAAATCTCATTAGAAATAAACTTGAGGCTGCTGGGTATTGACCCAGGTCCCTCTTGAAGCTATCTTGTGTCTCTATCTTTTCTCTTCGTCTATGTCTACTTCTTCCTATTATTTCCCAATTCCTCACTTCCCTCTTCAAGGGACCTTTCAGTAGGTCAGGGCTGAACCCCAACACTGACCTCCAACACTTTCTGATGGAATTTAAGGCTCCACAGGAGAGAACTCATACCTGGTACTGTAAGCTTTGCCAAGAACCTATGGCTGGAGGTTCATCACCCACCAGAAGAGAACCTACTATTATTGTTCTGTTAAATGGACCTAGTATCAAATAGCCTTTGAGACACTTGTCTTCATACCATGAATGATGCATCTCTCAGTCCTCATCAGAGAAGATTCCTTTTGTGGGGGATGAAGGTTCATACAGAGACTCACAAAAGTCACAGTGAGGAGAATAAGTGGTTGTTGAGTATGCAGTCCTAAATACAACATCATTTCACACATAGAGCCCCTCTTCTGCCAAGGCTCAGGCAATACTATGGAAGAAAATGGGGAAAGATTATAATAATCATTTTGAAAAGGAGTACTACTAAGTGATGTCTTCTGCACATGACATGGCTGGTGTGTGAACTCACTTCAGCTGTGGTTGCTTGTATCGCAGAAAGGAGAACTGCTATGAGGACCCACCCCTGCCCAAGAAACTCCTGAGATTTAAGAATGGCTGAGGGAAGGTGCATGCCTTCAGAGGTGTAGCCACTGATAAGTTTCCCATGCATCAGAAAATGATATCATTAAGTGAAATTCTACTTAAACTCAGCGGGTCACACAGACAGGAAGAGACATGAAAATAAAAAGGGGACTTGTTGAGAAGAGGGTTAGTGGGAAGAAGAGAGAAGAAACGTGGTAATGGGAAATGAAGACTAAGATTCAATATATACATCTATGAAGCTTTTAAAGTAGTAAGAGTTCAACCCCAGAAGTCTTCTGGCCTTTACTTGTGGTTTTTGAAATTGAATTTATCCTTCATTAATGTACTTCCGAAGTTTCTGGGGTCCAGTTGTGTTTCTTGTTTTCTTCCTACATCCCTATCATTACCTCTTTACGATTTCTTCATCTCCTTGGTTTCTCTTGTAGTTTTTCCTCCTTCTCAACTGTCCTCTGATTGTGTATCCATTTGAGATTAAGAATGATTTCTTCTTGTAAAAACCCAGGGGTATTGTGCTGAATCTTGGTTGTTGATTGTCCCCAAAGGCCTATGTATTAAAGGCTTGTCCCCAGATGGTGCTATTGAGAGATGGTGTAACCTTAGGAGGCAGGACCTATTGGGAAGCTCAAGGGTCATGGGGGGCCATGCCCTAGAAGGGAAATGTGGACCCTGTTCTCTTTCTGTTTGCGTTTCTCTTAGATTATGAGATGTGAGCAGTTTCACTCTGACACATGTTCCTGCCTTGATGTGGGGACCACTGGTCGTGGACTGGAACTTCCAGTCATCTTCCAAAACAAGCCCTTCCTTTTGTAAATTCATTATATCAGGTATTTTGTTGTAGTAACAGGAAGCTGACTAACATATCCTGTTTGTCCATTTTGCTCCACGTGTACTGACGCTAATGCTAATTACCCATTACACTTACCTGTTTCTTAGTGGGGTAAAATTTCCCTTTGTACTTCTCACTCTCATAGGTGGCCTAGTTTCAAATAGTGGTGTCTCTTTCTAAAACACTTTTATGACCACTTCTTCCCTCTTTTGTTTGTTTGCTATAGGGAACTGAAAATCCCTAAATTCTATCTTTGACAAAGTAATTTTTAACAAGGTCTTCCTCTTGGAAGTTCCTATTGGCCCTTCTAACCTTTCCCCTCCCTCGGTTACCAGGCAATAACAGTTATAGTAAACTTTTATATGTCATTTTAAATATTACTACCTTGTTTAGAAACCTGCTTTTCAGTTGTTTGTTTCTGCTTCTTCAAGCTTAGCAGTGAAATCAGGTTTCACATCTTCCCAGGCAGCAGAGTACTTTGTGTTTATTCTTTGTATAGTCTTCTGTAATGATGCATGCTTCTACCTAAACAGAAAAGAATCCTGTGTGGTAATGAGGCCATTACTTTAGACTCTTTCTGGCCAACAGTAAGAGCTGAGGGAGCATGTGTAGCATTGCTAGAAGCCATAAAAGAGAAAGTGGAGAACACAGACTTACTTGTGGCTCTGAGTAGTGATTTACTTCAAGACACCAATGTGCTTGTCTGTAAATGAGCTCACTCATTTTTCTTAAAATCAGAGATTTGCTTAGGGCTATTTAAAAACATTAAGGTTGTAAGCTATTACTTCATAGAAGCAAGATAAACCAGGTCCTGGCCAAATGATAGTACCCCAGCTTTCTAGCTCTGCTTTATAACAGCACCAAAGCCAACTACTCAAGGCCATGCTTCTCCCAATGACTCCGCCAAGCTCGTCTAATATACTCCATGCTGTCTTTTGTGTGTGTTTATGACCAGTGATGGTAACTTAGGAGAGGCCTTTAGAAGCACATATGCTAATGTTTGCTTTGGTATGCCATGATCCCCAAATTTCTGCCATAGAATAATGCTAACTGGCTCACATCCATCTAGTCTTTTGTAGTAAGCATTAAGGAGTTTCTTTCTTTCTTCCTTTCTTTCTTTCTTTCTTTCTTTCTTTCTTTCTTTCTTCCTTCCTTCCTTCCTTCCTTCCTTCCTTCCTTCCTTCTTCCTTCCTTCCTTCCTTCCTTTATTTCTTTTCTTTCTTTCTCTTTCTTTTTAGTGTTCCATAAGCCTAGGCCTTGCTATGTGACCCTGGCTTTCCTGGAACTCACTGATTGTAGCAATCCTCCCATCTCTGCCTCTCAAGGGCTGAGATTATTGTCATGTACTGTCATGCCTAGCATGCCTTCTTATGTGTTATACTGTCCCACAGTCTCTCTACTGTCCTTTCCTTTCGATAGTCACAGAGCACCATATGTATGCCTTTCCCCATCATGATTGGCTGGAGTTCAATAAATTAAGCCGAGGAGGCAGGATTGGAAGAAAGTTGAAGATGCAAATTGAAAACAGAGAGAATCAAGATTTTTGAAATATAAAGTATTAGGTGTTTTAGGAACTGGGCACAATGCTGGACCAATGCAGGACCCTGTCTGTGCCAGTAATGGTATACAGAACAGAAGGGATTCAAGAGCAGGAGCCAGTCAGCCAGTTTAGGTGTACAAGAGCTAATCTTCCCAGGAAGATTAAAGTGAGGTCTTGCTGGCCTGGTGACAGGGAGAGCAGGTCTAGCTTCCACAGCCAAACATGATGAGGGGAAGGCATACATGTGGTGCTCTGTATCTACTGAAAGGGAAGGGCACTAGAGAGACTGTGGAGCAAAAGAATGCATAGGAGGGTATTCCAGACATGATGATGCATGCCTATAACCTCAGCCCTTGGAAGACAGAGGGTTGCTGCAATCAGTGAGTTCAGGCGAGCCAGGGCTACATAGCAAGACAGAGGTTCAAAACACATGGTCTCTTTAAGCCTTCCTCTTGAAAAATGATTTACTGCTTTGGTTTCTAATCATTTGCTAAGCATGCCGTTGGTACGAGATTCCACAATGCTCTGAGGATGTTAGCGAAGCTTGTCTCTTACCTTGCCCTTGCCATTTTCTCCTTGTTTCAAGAGCATTCACCACTTACACTCTTCTCGCTTTCTCGTCTACAACACTTCTTGCGTTCTTTCCTAGTGAGCTATCAGAATTGCTGGAGTGGAATGATATATTGGATTCACCTTGACCAGTTAAAATCTGGGAGTCAGGAAGGACGAAATGGCCATGAGCCACTTGGGACAATTGACGAGGTGAGCATATTAAAGTAACATATTCAATTTAGTCTCCTTCCAGACATTTCTTTTCTTTCTTTTTATTCTTTCATAGATTACATCCCGACCACAGTTTCTCCTCCCTCCTCTCCCCCCAGTTTCTTCCCCACCACTCCTCCTCCACAGATCCCTGCCCGGTCATGTCCCCTCAGAAAAGAGCAGGCCTCCCAGGGACCTCGAACAAACATGGCAGCATGATATGCTACAATAAGATCAGGCACATACACCCAAAGGATGCTCCATCCTATCATAAGGACACTTGCTCAGCTACGTTCCTAACAGCTTTATTCACAGTAGACAGGCATTTCTTACTCACTGTGGATAGACCACATGCAACCAAAAATAGCTACAAACCCAGCCTAACACCAAATCATAAACTTACTTAAAGCATTATGAGGTTTTTGGGGGCATTTTTTTTTGGTACCTCAGTTGTATGGTTCTCAGATGTATACTTTGTAGATAACAGTATTATGTCACAATGTCAAAAAGTCCTTCCTCCCGTAGGGTGAAACTCACTGTGCTCTCCGTGGTATATATGGTCATTCAAGGGCTCATGTTGCTCTCTTCTTCCAGCACTTCATTGATTTGAGGATGTGCAAACCCCTTAAAGCAGCGGCCCTCAACGTGAAAGTCACAAGCCCTCCAGGGGTCAAACGACCCTTTCATTGGGGTCACATATCAGATATCCTGCATATCAGCTATTTACATTACTATTCATAACAGTAGCAAAATTACAGTTATGGAGTAGCCATGGAATAATTTTATGGTTGCGGGGTCACCAAAACAGGAGGAACTGTATTATAAAGGGCCACAGCCTTAGGAAGGTTGAGAACCACTTAGAAGATCTTAGAAGATCTTGGTGGGATCTGGCTCCCATTTGCCTCCGTGGGCTTCACCTGCTCCTCTCCTCACATTGACTTATTCTGTGTATTCGAAGAGTCCTTGCTCTCTTTAAACCTTTCTAACGGTCGGTGTTGCCTCTGCAGATGGGATATGCCAACCCTTTTGCCACTCCTAGTCCCCAGATGATGCCAACCTGTACTGTGGCTCTCAGCTCCGACCTCATTTCTTCTGGGAACTCTACCCTCTCACTCCTCCAGCTATGCAGGATGGGAATCAGAGCCTTGGCAAAGTTCTCTTGCCCTCCCCGCGCTCCTCTAACATGGTTCTGTGTGGCTATGGCCCATTTAGCAGAACAATTCTCTCACTCAGCTCTAGGAGGGCAGGCCAGTACCTGTCCTGCACGCTTATTGTAAATCCTAACGTATTTCACGTCAGCATAGTGGTTTAAATACAGCACAGTCCTAAGGATCCTGTATTTGAATACTTGATCTCCAGTTGGTGGTGCTGTTTGGGGAAGTTTTAGAAGCATAGCACTCCTGGAGGAAGCGTGTCACTGAGGGTGGGGTTTTGAGAGCTCAAGACCCACCCACTCCTGTCAGTTTGCTCTCCCTGTTTCGTGCTTGGGATTTGAGCAGTTCCTGCTGTCATGCCTGGTGCATGCTGCCTTGCCTCTGCTCCATGATGATGGACTGTGACCCCTCTAAAACCATAAGCCCAACTACGTTCTTTCTTCTGTAAGTTGCCTTGGTATTTACATCACAGCAGCAGGAAAGAAACCAATGTAGTCAGAAAGACTTAATTTCACACACACGAATGAGCACCTATATTTACCTATACTTACCAATTATGTCTGAATATGTCCCATAGACACGCATACATTGTGCAAGCACGTGTATGTGTGTATGTGTGCACACATGCACATGTATATAACATGGTAGGTACTCATAACCTTCAGCCTCAAAGTACACCATAGATTAGGTTTCTGGAAGACACTTGATGCATATCCTAGCTATTTTCACTTACCTGTATAGAATGTCGTCTTGTTCCATTCTAACTTCATTCTTTAGAATCACTTTTACTATCCTCCTCACCAGTTCTTCCTCCCCGCAACAAAACAATGCATTCTTTTAGGGGGTACAGGCCACCCATCATCTCAAGCAGGTCTTGCTTTCAAAACTGCTCTGATTTGTAGTAAAGTGAACCGGAATGGATGTTTTCATATGATCCACTCTTTTCTTTATTGTTTGTACAGTGGGTGTTTTACTTCGGCGAGCTCTCTACAGCCTGAAGCCCATCAGTAGGTCTGAATAATCATGTCTTCCTTGTGATTGTTCTGGATGATGGTGCCATCAGCTTCTCTTAGGTGGGTACTTTTGTGAATCTGTGAAGGGAGATTTTTTTTCCCATCACTATTTGATATACACAAAAATAAAAGTGCTCAAAGTGCTGAAAAATATAAGTTATTTACTTAGGGGTGGTGATCGGTGCTTCTCTCTTCTGTCTGGTTGCCCATCAGCATAGAAACCTGGAGAAATCCCTGTCTTATTTCTTATTTCTCAGAGCCTGACGATGCCTTTAAGAAACCGTGTAACAAATATTCAGTGTTCACTACAAGCATACAGATCTACTAGCTGAGCCAACATAACAATGAGGTGCTGTGGCCAAAGGACTCCCACACTTTCTCCCTACACATCATCCAGCTCACTCCACTGTCGTCAGCCAGCTACCAACAATGTCCCCCCTTAGTGGGCTTCCATCTCTGGAGTCTTCCCTACCCCTCCTCCAGACTTATGATACATTCTTTCCCTTCTGTTTGGAAAAACTGGAAAGGACAGCAAGATAATTTGATTTGATTATTTTTCTGGATGAAAAGCCCCTTTCTCATAGGAATTATCTTTAACCCAGTTGCCTCCCTGGTCCTGGTTCTAAAGGGACTCTGTTGGCTGCTATCCTGAATGCCTGTGATCCCTACAGTAATAGGGAGAGCGAGGTACTCCCTCTTATGCCAATGTCATTAGTGTGCAATGGAAAGCATGCAATTGTTGAAGCCATTTGACATCCCATGAGGCATGTCCCCTTCCAGAATTTTTGCTACAAGTGAAAATACTTATGATTGCTTACGCTTTCTCAACCTACCATGCCCTCTATTTAATCATAAACAATTTGTAATGCTTCTTTTATCATCCTGAAGGAAAAAAAGATGGCTAGTACAATCAGCCTACACATCATGTTTTAAAAATCGATAGAATGCATAAATAAACTTATATAGAAATGGGAGGAAAATGGTTTCTAGCAGGTTAGCAAGCATTTCCTGGTGGAAATGCATAGGAATTGGTATTCCAGCGGACATAAGAGTAGAGGGAGAGGGCCACATCTATTAGCTAAGTCAGCTTCTAACAGTGACAAAGGCAGGTGGAAGACCTGTTTAACTTGGAGAAATCTGGGTTTGAAAATAGCATCAGAGGTACTGTGATCGGAATATATATATATTTTAAATGTGATCAAGTCCAAACAAAATAAAGTACAATCTTGAAAAGGAAGGTTGGGGAGTACTGTGTTGCTGTTATATATATATCAAATAATATGAGCAAATGTTTAACTGACACAAATAACCTCTGGAACATTGAGAAGCTAGATGGGATGAAAAACATTGTTGTTGTTTTACTGCCTGGAACTTTCTTGTGAGTCTTGGTGCTTCTTTCTGCATTCCTGGAACCAGGATAGGGATGCAATCAAAGCCAGTAGTTCCTTTATCATGATAACAACAACAACAACAACAACAACAACAACAACAACAACAACAACAACAAAATCCTCTGTTAATTTCTAAAATGTCACAAAGGGGACGACAAAGCACCCACTGAGGGCCACTGTCAATTGTCAAGCAGGAAATGTGGACAGAGTGGGAGTAGAGGCGGTAGATGGGATAGGGGTTTAGTTTGACATTTTTTGGGACCCATGATGCTGCAGTGTTGCTGAAGGAAGGTAATCAGCTTTTGAACTCCATCTCAGAAACTGACCCTGACTTAGGTAGCCTGCAGAGGGTAGGGAGTCAGCTGAAGATCATAGAGTGAGGAAGTAACGAGAAGAATGGAGCTTGATCCCATAGCAAGAGCATTCTTGGCTCTATGGCTGAACAGAAAATGAAGAAATGGTCAGTACCACACACACAGCCAAGAGGCCCCTTCATGGAAATTTTAAGGGGGTTCCCAGCTGAGGCATGCCAGATGCATGAAAGCCCAGTTCAGGCAGAGACTGTCAATCAAGCTATTCACAGACTCCAGCTGAGGGAGGTCCTGTCCACCCCTGTGCAGCAGAGTCGGAATCTTGGCCCACGACCCAGTCTGGAACAATGCCACTCTCTATGGGATTTTTCATTCTCTCTTTTTCTCTTTTTTTTTTTCTTAAAAAAAAAAACACCCAACTTCATTGTTTTCTTTTATAATAGAAATAATAGATGTTCGTTGTAAAATATTCCTACAGTGTAAAGATGCAAAAAACAAGGAAAGAAAATTCTTTAAACCCATTGCTCAATATTAATTACTGCTTACATCCTTTTGCTTTTGTTTTTCCTTGTGTGTATAAAAACACTAATTTTAAAAGACATCATAATGCAAGTATTGTTTTCAGCTTGATGCACTTATCTTGCAATGGATGTATTATGACTTTTTATCATCACCAATCTTCAACAAACGGGTTCCTTCCTTCTTTTCAGTGCTTATGATATATAGACTTGTGTCTGTTTTCATTATTAGGTCCACAAGGAAACTGTCAAGAGACAGGTAGACTCAGAAATAATTATTTTTCACATTTTTGCCCTCATAAACAATGCTACAGTAAGGCACTATCAAGTATGTATCTTTGTGTGAGGATAAAAATACTTTTATAATTAAATTGCCAAATAGCCCTGAAAGACTGCATCAAATGTTGTTTTACCAATAGTCCTTGAAAATACCAAAATTTTTTTTTAAACCCTGAGTAAACTAGTCAGCAACAATTTATTTCCTGTTTGCTCTTGGGAAAATAATATGCATTGGTCATTTTAAAATATAGTCAAGTGTGTGAAATAATCATCTTTGGAACTCATAGCTCTCCAACATATCTATTAAAAGATTTAGTGTGGGTGTGTCTATGGCATAATGGGTGGTACTCTCCCAAACATGTCCACTGGAGGCCTGAGTGCAACTATCCAGAAATGAAAAGATCTCCAGGTTAGATTAAATACGCCAAGGAAGAGAATTCTTGATCATACTGGGCCTGTGTCAATGGTATGTGCATAACACAGAAGACAGGGTCATGCAAACAGACTCAGGACGGGAGTAATTTAGCCACAAGCCTGGGAATACCAAGGACTGCCAGGGAGTGCCAAGGATTGCCAGTGGCCACAGAGCACTACTACAAACACGAGTGTATGTATCTGTGTGTGTGTGTGTGTGTGTGTGTGTGTGATAGGTATTTGAGACGTCATATAATGTGTGACCTCTGGTACCTGACATTTTATTTCTGCTCTATATTTTGAGTATCCATTCCAATTCTGACTTTTAGAAACATCCCCATTCCCTTTATGTAGCTGAATAATGTCCCATTATACTAGTATAACCCAAATATTATCTATTTATCAGTTGGTGGGTATTTTTTTTTACCACTTCCACGTTTGACTGCGTGAATAGTACTATTACGAACGCACATGTACAATTTCATGTGTTCAGATGCTTTCATGGACCTAATAGTGGAATTACAAGTTCACATGACAATTCTGCTTAGCTTTTGGAAGTGATGTCAAAACATTCCCATGGTAGCTGCATTGTTTTCTGTTTCCAGCCATTTCCAGTTTTTCTCTTTTCCATTTCGTCTACTATTATAGGTACCCTGGAGGGTATTGAAGTGTATCACATTGTCGTTTTGATTTGCATTTCCATAATGACTAAGGATTTTTGGCCACAAGAATCATTTCCAGTCCTTCAGAGTATTCCATTGTGTATTTGCACCATAATTTTTCCAGTATTTATTTAAATAGTCCCGTGTGAGCTGATATATAGTTCCTAAGCTCTTTTGGCCATCATAAGCAATTGTCAGGGTATTTGTTGACGTTTATCAACAAAGAAGGTTTCTAAGTGTAGACTCAGGGTTAAGATCACTAGTGAGAGATCACACTCACTTTCTAGTCATCTATTATTGTCACACAGTCTTCCTGTTAATTTTCTGGTGGTGTTTAGTTCTCTCCGTAGTGATTAACAATGCACCAACTAAGCAACTATTCTAGGTTGCAAGACATGCCATATCTTTGTATTTACTAACAATCCACTTATTTTTTTTCAGATAAAGTTTTACAAGGCAGTCCATGCTGGTCTTAAAACTTGAGATCTTCCGGACTCCACTGGGCAACCGACTCCCACTCTTAAAATGTTTTTCAGTGAGATGCATTGGTGCATCTTGTTTCTGTTGTGGAGGAGATTAAAATAGAACTCTATACCATGGTTTGAAGATGTGCCCAGAAGTTTATGCATTGGAATTATAATTCCCAAATTCCTATGCAGTTGTTTGAAGATAAGGGTGTGAACATGCAACTTTGGTGGTTTTAGGGGAGGAGAGATTCACTTTAGCACACTTGCTCACTCTTTCCCATCATGATAGGATGTAATGATGGCCTTCTTTACTACATGATGATGGAACAGGTCCTCAGAGACACTTCTGCCCTGCTCTTAGACCTCCTTGTCTTTAGAACTGTTCGCCAAACAGCATGTGTTTTATAAATTGCCTGGTCTTATTTGTTTTGTTATAAACCCCAAGATACTCTAAATGGGAATGCAAACAAAATGTCTGCTCCACTGTAAACCCCAAAGTCTTGCAAAGTTCCCAGGGTTCTAAAAATGGTGCCACCTAGCAGTGAGTGTCCTCCCTGCTCTGTTCACAAGGTGACTGTGGTGGTATTGTGTTCCCCAAAATATTGTGCACTCTAATAAACTTATCTGGGGTTAGAGAGCAGAATAGCCACAATATTAAACATAGAGGTTAGGCAGTGGTAGCACATGCCTTTAATCCTAGCATTCCAGAAGTAGAGATCTGCCTGGATCTCTGTAAGTTCAAGGCCACACTAGAAACAGCCAAGCATGGTGACTCATGCCTTTAATCCCAGGAAGTAATGGCAGGAGGCAGAAAGGTATTTAAGGCGTGAGGACTAGGAACTAAAGCTCGTTAAGCTTTTAGGCTTTCGAGCAACAGTTCAGCTGAGATTCATCAGAGGCTTCCAGTCTGAGGAAACAGGATCAGCTGAGGAACTGGCAAGGTGAGGTAGCTGTGGCTTGTTCTACTTCTCTGATCTTCCAGTATTCACCCCAATACCTGGCCTCAGGTTTGATTTTATTAATAAGGCCTTTTAAGATTCCTGCTACAGATGACTACAGGGATGCTTGTTTCTTGCTCTGTTTACAGGGTGACCACAGGGATGCTTGTTTTCTGTGTTCTTTGGATTCTTATGCTTATGCTCTTTCTTGGTCATCCTAAAGAAATGTCTTAAACTCTGAGAGCCTATAGAGTGAGGGCAGGGTTCTCACTCTATAGGGAGTTGCTCTCAAGTAGCGGCCACCCTTGGGAGTCTCTGCTCCCCTCCTCACCCTGTGAATCAGAGCTCTCTTGCTTTCCTCTATAAAATAATCACTATGTTTCTTCATTTTTCCCCTTCCACCATCTCTCAGCTCTCTGTGAAGCCATGCATAGATTTACATTTGTAGAAATGGCAGGAAAATCCAGGTAGACTTTCTCTCCCCCAAACCTAGACAAATCTGTGAAGTAAGATGATAGAAACGTTAGAGTTGGTGTAGAATATAATTACACGGAGAACTAACACAAGTTAGCCTCTCTAACTGTTCTGCTTCCATCTGATGGATGTTTGACAGTCTTTCCTACTTGTTAATTTGACGTACTACTTTTTATCTTTGCTCATTTTCCATTGAGGTATTTATTACTTTGTGCCTTGATTGTAGATGTTGTGATCTTTGTAAATCAATAAGTATTGCATGATTTCTGTCTATCCCACTAAATGATATCAGTTGACTTTTCACCTTTATTACTATTAAATCTATTTTGTAAATTGTCTTTTCACTCTTTAAAAGTTTGACTTTTTCTTTTTTATGTGTAGGTGCTCATTATATTATCACAAAGACATTCAGCCTTCAAATGTATCACAAAGATTTTTCTCTTAGCTTTAAGTCTCTATATTTATATTATCAACAATATTTTCTATAGTCACTCAACAACTTCCTTCTTAGTGTTTGAACTTCTTACCTGAGGGTTACAATTGCCTTTTTCCACACCAAGAAATACTCTTCCAAACTAAGTTTTATTTCTAACATGCTTTATTATTTATAGTCTTTGAGTATTAGAGCTATCTGGATTAGTTGTGGTGTGTGTGTGTGTGTGTGTGTGTGTGTGTGTGTGTGTGTGTGTGTGTGTTTGTTATATAAAGTAAAAGCATGTTTTCCTCAAAACCACATCTTGGCTATGCAATTAATTATGTGCTTCTCTAAGTTGATTCTTTTACCCTATTATATTTTCTTATTAATATTGCTGGAATATATTCTTAACTCTACATATTTCCATTATTTCTATGTATTTCACTAAGGCTTAATTATTAACAGAATACCATTATTTTCGTTTGGTTTGATATATCTATAAGAATAATAACATTATAAAAATGATGGTTTTAGCCTTCATATAAACTTTAATTAAAATTTATGGTTTCCCAGCTGCAACACTCTGGAGAGCAGGCCCTGCGTCTTGCCTGGACAGTACAATAGAACCAATTCTGTTGGTGGAGGTGTGGGTGAGTCAGACCCAAGGTTGTGAGCTTGGGAGAGCTGTTACCACTACTCATCTGCCTTGTGGTGGCATGAGCAGGGCAGAGTTACCCTCCCCCTTCCACCCTTTGGACCAAGGGCTGCAGGATCTTCACAACATAGGGCAGCAACAGAATGTCCAGGAAGAGTGCCAGTGAGGGCCCAGAGTCGATGGTATAGCGGAGACCAGGGGCCTTGAACCAGATCAATGATTCTTTTTGATGAATGCCTGCATGCAAAAATGTATGGAAAAGGGTGACTCACAGTGTCACACTGCGGCTTCCATGATGAGATTCTCCCCTTCTTCCGTTTTTCTCATTTTGTAACTTTTTCTCATTTTTATAAGCCACCATGAGAGTATTTCAGGTCCTCTGAGAGAGCAGCCAGAGTTCCTAACCACTGAGCCCCGACTTAATGTTTAATATGTCTTTTTAATGGAAACCATGCACAAAATGCTGTGTTACATACTGAAGTATTGTTATTTCGAGGAAATATTTACAGAAATTTTTGAATTGCAAGCTGAACAAGTCTGAATTTTATGGGACTCTACTTTTGCTTGAAAGAACAATTGATGAATTATGATTATTTGGGACAGACATATACTCTTAGAAGTCTTAAAGCAAGCCTGTCATTTCATGGAAAACAATTAATTGTATTTGTTGCTAAAATGAGATTTGAGTTATAGAAAATATTGACATCCCAATATTTAAAAAATTTAGGGTTTCCTTTATATGGACTATAAGAACTTCTTGTTAAACTTGTCAGAAACCTAAATGTATTTGAATTCTTGTTCTTATGTGAGCTACAATATACATACAAGCCTGGACTGTTTGTCACATGACTTAGTGGGAACTCTTGTCAATAATAAAGACAAATGTTTCCAGGATTTCTGCTGAGCCCACATCCCCTTAAAAACCTTTTTTTTTTTTAAGGAGTATCTTTATCCCTTTAAAATATGAGAATTTTTCAGTTATTCTCCCTAAATTTCTAGTAATTTATTCTTACACAAGAGTACATGAGTGTCTGTTCCCTATACCCATGTTGGGAAAAGGTTTCTAAACCCATCTGTGCATGAATCATAACCTTTGAAGGAATAAAACAATAAAACAGCTCCCTTTGTTGATAGTTGGCCCGATGCCTGATTTTTTTTCTTTTTCACTGTGCACAAAAACAGGGGGTCAAACTACTGATCATGACACGGGCATTTTCTCCACTCAATTCACCATTTTCTAGCTAGTCTCAGCCTTATCTTTTCTCAGATATGCTAACTCAGCACCACCTGTGGGTGATGGAGCTGTCCTGATCAGTCAGATTCTGAGCAAGTAGGGAGGAAATATACCAAGGGGCGGGTTTCTCAGACCAGATATAGAAGCAGGTCTAAGTCTGTAGCCTGTGGTACAGAAGAGTCTGTATATAGACCATGGAAAATCATAGAAATATGGGCAGGATGTGAGCTTTAAATGCCCAGTGCAGCCAGCTCTAGGGACAGTTGGACTTGTCTTATTTGCATCTGGTTTGCATGCAGACACAAGTCTAGCACTGGTATAATGAGTTGGTTGTACAGTCTCCCTGGACTAAAAGTCCCTTGTGACTTTCTAGTCGACCATGCCTAGAGTTGCTTTGTCTCACAACTTCATAGTTCAAACCCTAAACCAAGAGTCTAAAGTATGTGAGACAAGAATACATTGAACCAAGGGTTTGTGTGTTCAAGTCTTGATTACCAACCTGCGGCTCTACTGGGAGGTGGTAGGAGCTTTCAGAGGTGAGCCCTAGTGAGAGAAAGATGGAAGTTAGTTCCCTGTAGATGAGTCCTTAAGGGGTAAAGTTAACTCCAATTCTCCTCTCTCTCTCTCTCTCTCTCTCTCTCTCTCTCTCTCTCTCTCTCTCTCT